TCAGTGTCGTTTTAACGGGGTTTGACCGTAACAAAAGTCTTTTACTAAACTGAATTGGCCCTGTGAGCTGCTTTGCTGCTTTTTCAAAACTTGTCATGGGCTTGATTCATTTCCAGCCAGCTCTATTAATTATACACGCTGAAGGCAAATGTTCCAAGTCGACAACTGGTAGTCTGAAAATTAACCCGGGGGCGTACTTTCTATTATTCAGGATTAGTTCTCGGTGCGGAGGATGAGCTAATCATAATTCTGGGAGCCCGTACTTGAAATCATTAAAAAAAATCGCATGATCGAAGCTATCGTCCCGGAGGGCTTGGTTCTACAAGCGTTGGATAGCGTTATAGTATGCATCGGATAAAACTGTATCCAGAACTGTATCCAGTTGATAAGTATCAGGGAAACAAAATACGTTATTTATCCACTGGATAAGATAACGCTACCAAGTGTTTGAACAACTGGGGTAAGCCTTCCAGCAGCTATAATCTACTTTTTGTTGCTAATTTTGTCCACATGATTTCCAAGAATCTTTGTTCTCTTAGGTGAACTAATAGCCGATATTTAACAACGGCCACCTTGGGGACCGAACCAAGTGGCCATTGTGGAGAGGTAGCCGGGAGGGGGAGGTAGGGGTGTGATATGAGACCTGTTTTTAGAAGAGCTCGTGTGCCAATCAAACTAGCCTGCGTTTCAGTCGGCCCACGGATGTTTAGAGCGTCTGCGACGCAGGCTACAACCAAACAGACAAAGAAAAGATTTTTTCCCCGCAGGATTAAAGAGGATCCTAAAAATCACGTAATATGCCTTGACTTTACCACCTTTGTGTATTTACTAAATTGATATTTCATAGTAAATATCAGTTAAACAGGTTAGCTACATGAAGCCACCCGTATCACTAGAACATCAGAAACCCTACTGGACCTTTTTCTCACTGACAACGTGAAGAAAATACAGTCATCGGGCGTAGTCCATGTTAACATAAGTGATCACTCTCTTGTGTTTGCCATTCTCAGAGCATCGGAACCGAGAATACGATCTCGGGAAATACGATTTAGAAGCCTTAAGAATTTTGATAAACAGCATTTTCTACATGATTTGCATAATGTTCCTTTACCAAGTAGCTGAAATATTTGACGACGTTGATGATAGGCTCTACGTGTTTGATTGTTTATATGAGGACATTCTTTGTAAGCACGCACCTTTGAAACAGGTCCGCATAAAGGGAAATCAAGTTCCCTTTATGAATGAACAATGGGACAGAGCTATTCGTCAGAAGAACCGTTTGTGGAAGTGCTTCATTCGTGAAAGAACTGATACTAATTATGAATTGTACAAGAGACAAAGGAACATTTGCACTTCTCTAAGACATAAAGCTATTAAAACTTTCTTTGACAAGAAAAGTGAGTCGGAAAACCCAAGGGAGTTTGGGACACATACCGCCCATTTTTGCATTCAAGGAAAAGTACGCAAGCTAATGACATAATACTAAAAGAACACGATGTCGTAATAACAGACAAGAAACAAATAGCGGAGCTTTTTAATAGTTATTTCGTGAACATCGCGGACGGCGTGCCAGAGATTACTGAACAGATTTATGGAAAAGGGTTTGATGCACATCCTAGCATTCAGGCGATTTTTAATAACAATGAGCAGATCGCTGCGAGAAACAATTTTGCTTTTCAATATACTAATAAAACCCAAGTGGAAGCTTTGTTACTCAAAATCAACTCCCGTAAATCCTGTGGTTATGACGGAATACCACCGCGACTGGTAAAAGAGTCTGCCAACGCGATTGCTGGTCCTATAGCTGCAATAATGAATCACTCGATTAGGACAGGACAGTATCCGTCGCGCTTGAAATTAGGTCAAGTTACTCCTTTATTTAAAAAGGACGATGAACTAAACAAAAGCAATTATCGACCAGTGACCGTATTACCTGCGCTCAATAACGTCTTTGAGAGGCTATTTTCAGCTCAAATGGGCGACTTTTACCAGAACATATTGTCTGAATACATATCTGCCTACAGGAGGCACCATAGCTGTGAGACATCTTTACTTAGGCTGACTGAGGACTGGAGGCGCAGTCTAGACAATAAAGAGATCGTGGCGGTTATATCAATGGATTTGTCAAAGGCTTTCGACACCATACCTCATGCTTTGCTATTAGCAAAACTGAAAGCGTATGGCTTGCACGAATCCAGCTGCGCCCTTATCGGTGACTACTTGACGGATAGAAGACAGCGAGTGAAAATTGGTGATACTTATTCGGATTGGATGAGTGTGAAGCGGGGCGTGCCTCAAGGCAGCGTCCTGGGGCCCATGTTTTTCAACATGTTCCTCAACGACCTCATCTTTCACATTAAGTCTGTATAATTAAACACTTATGCCGATGACTGCCAACTGCACTCATCTGATGTAGACCCAGTGGCCTTGGAACGGCGGATCAATCATGATGTACAAATAGCAAATAAATGGTTCGAAGACAATGGGATGAAAGCAAACCCTGCTAAACATCAAGGGATGGTTCTTGGCAAAACCGATTACCCTTTCTCCTTTTTAACCACAAGATGCCTGGATCTTTTTGGAATATCTCTAGACAATGAACTTAATTTCAAAGATCACATATCCTCTGTATGCAAAAAAATAAATAATCAGTTCAGTGTCTTCAAAAGATTTGGCAAACTTATCTCATCTGAAATTATGCTTCGCCTTTATAAAGCGTTTATCTTACCCCATTTTCACTAGTGTTCAATGATATGGCACTTTTGTAATTCAGAAGATTCTGTCAAACTGGACACCTTAAATAGACGTATTTTAAGATTTGTTTTAAAGGACTGGGACTCGAACTATGATGCTCTTCTAGACAAGGCTGGTGTGTGTGGTTTAGCTAACAGGAGGATACAAAATATGATGATTTGTATATTCAAATGTCTCCATTTTGGTAAATATCCGTGCTATTTAAAACAACTGATCAAGTTAAGATCTACTGCTTACTCCCTACGGGGTACTAATATTTTATCACTTCCTAAGCCGTCTACAACCACATATGGTCTAAATTCCTTTAGCTATTCATCTGTTAAGTACTGGAATTCTCTACCTGATCACTTTAGAAAGACTGTAGATTATAGTGAATTTAAGCGCAAATTGTTAGTGCACGGTTTTAGTTAATACTACATTAATTAATATTATATTATATATGTTGTAACTTTTAAAATTAGTTAGGATCGGAGATACTAGCTATGTAAGCTACACTAAAATCCGAGGATAAATAAAGTTTATGTATGTATGTATGTATGTATGTATGTATGTATGTATGTATGTAGCTTTCTCATGAAGAGGCAATGCAATATTTTACATACAACTCACACTTGAACTGGTCTATTGCCATTTTAGGAGTTTTTCCCTCGGGATTCTAGAAATGTTTTTATGTATCGTTTTGCTTAATTGTGCGTTGGGTTGGTCCTTCGTGATCGAGATGTGAATTTGTGTAGAGCCTGTATTTTTATTCGGTAATAAAGCCATGATAATCTCTTTTACTCTCTTCTTATTCGAGTCCTGTTTCTCCATCTTTCGATTTTCGCGCTGTCCACTCCAAGAACACCTCCCTATAACAGAACTGAAATAAATTAAACATTAAAGCCAAGTGAGATATTCTATAACGGGGAATTATGGCACAAATTCGATAATTAGGGGCTAAAATTGTCGGAAAAACATGAAAATCTGGTAAAAATAAGGTCATTAATACCTAATGTTACCGTGTTAGCAGTATCAACTGTCAACAAAAGAACAAAATACACGTTATTTTTTTCATTTTTTGCACTCATGAGACATGTCACAAAAGCAGGATTTTATTAAATAATTACCAGGTTTCTTGCTTTGAACCTAAGGATGGAAACGTTTTTACAAAACTGCTACCTTATATCTTTCCTGCCAGAAGTGGCAAGAACTTGGAAGTTATTCCATTGTATTGCTACATATAGAAATAAATGGTAAAAACTGCAAGTTTTTCAAACAATTTACTAGACTCTTAAAAATGTTTAAGAAATCTGGTGAAAAAAAATATGCTTAAAGCTTTTAAACTTTTGCGACTTGAAAAACAACAATGGAAATTTCCAACGTCATCGTGTTTGGATGGCCTTCAAACTAGCCATGGAAATTTCCACCGTCAAATGGTCCTCATTAAGGAATATTTTTTACGGTATTTTTCACACAAAGCAAAATGACATCGTCGTAGGGAAATCCCCTTACTACTAGCACGTACAGTCGTTACTAAATAACCGTGTCTGACGAAACTAATTTAGTTCTTGTTATCACCAGGATCAGAATAAGTTCAGATATTCGCTACAGTTTTTCAAGTAAAGAAGGGTCACTCAATTGTCCCTTGGAATACCTGACTATGTGTGAGCTCATTGAAAGCTCCTTGAAGGTCTGTTTTTGAACAATTAATAGTTTCTGGTTGTCCGAAGACAGCTTGTTGTTGTCGTCGCGTGCAAAATCTTCTGTTTTACAGACTACATACTTTTAGTTTTTTTTTTACTAAATCTCTTCATGATCATTTTTATCTTGCCAGGACTGCCATTCTTTCAGTCCGTGATCTTTTCCAACGGCCCACAGTCTCGTAAGGCGTCACACTTTTCACCTTCCTCTAGCAGTAATTCTTTTTTCTGTAGCCTTGTATGTTTGAAAGCTGCTACAAATACGTTCTCTTTAAGAGCCACTTATGCATTGGAACAGCAGAGGACCAGCTTAAACCTGCATACGAAAACAGATGCAATCATGAGTATGCAGGGATATGCTGCCTTCGGAAATATAATAATATGCTGTAATTTACTGAATAGCTATTCCTCCCAAGGAAAACTTTTTTCTGATGGGTTAGGAGGAAAACAGTATGGCGTATTCCTATCCGTTTTGAACAATTTCAGAAACTAACTCTGCATTTTGTAAAACTGCTAATCGAACAAACAGTAGCTGACTTACTTGTCGATGATAATTCAGCGTATTCCTCATCTTTTGTAGTGGAGCACAAACCATGTCATCCCGCGCTCTGTCCAACAATTTACTCTTAAAGTGACTACTGCCACTAGCGCTGAAAGTAAAAGAACCTCTTTCTTTCCTGTCTGAAAGTGAACAGCACAGCTCAAATACATCGCTGATGTTTGGATTACGTGCTTCTGCAATGGTTTCGGCAGTAACTGGATCAAAGAGAACACTCGTTGCTGTACTTAAAAAGTGTGCTCCTGGCTCTTCTTATTCGCCTCTTAATCCCGATCAGAGCAAAAGAGGTCGCTCGTTGGATTCTTTAGGGTACCTCTTTTCAAATTCTCCCTTTTTTTTGTCTCCATACTTAATTTGTCGCAAAGACGTTTCTGATGCATTGCGAATCTACACTAGTGAATCAGTCATTTGAAGTTATTTCGCATCTGCCTTTCAATCAAATTCTTAAATTTCCTGGGCGGCCTCTTGAAAACATTTGTTAACTGTGTGACAGTTGAACAAAATGCACGCAATTATAAAAACGTGCTTACTCAAATATCGAAGAGGGCATAAAAGAAACAAAAGAAAAAGAAAAAATTAACATTGGAATCAGAGGCTTTAAGGAATGACTTGAAGAAGAATTAAGCAAGCTGATCGGATGTTCGTGATGACGAGGATCACGCAAATGAACAAAAACAAAGTCATAATATAAATCCACTTCAGTCCGGTTTTCTGATATTGCGGTTATTTTATCCTCTAAACACTGGAGTGAAAGAAACATGCCTATTGACCCATGGTTATCACATCTTTTACTTGAATGTGCTCTTTGTTATTCGTTCAACGAGATTAAGGCAGACCTGCCAACCCCTAAGAGTGAAAAAACTGGAGGTGGGCTAAAAAAAACCTTCAGGTTGAGCAAAAAACCTGGAGATTTTGCAAAAACGTCACCTGACTTAATTATTGTACAACTGTAGAGTTAATTAAAACATCGTACTTTTTAGTCTCACCAGCACTCCGTTGTCGTTCCGGTTTGGATTCATCTGAACTTTCAGCTGAATTTGAGTCTTCGTCGACATGTAATACTGTCTCCCGGATTCACGCTGAAAACCCGCCATGGCTTGTGAAATTCTCTTACGTAGGAAAGCATGTCGGGAAGGCACAGCCAGCTAGACTTGTACCCAGACCTTCGGTTACCTTGAGAACGGCCCAATGGAAGCCAAAACGGAAAATGTCCCGTGTGCTACTACGAAAGCCGAGGAGGGTCTTCCGACTTCCGACTTCCAACTTCTCATTTCCGACTTTCGACTTCCAACTTCCGACTTCTGTTGTCCGACTTCCAACTTCCGTAGCAATGAAAGGCGATGGTAGGCCTGCACGACTTTTACGTTATGCTAAAATGGTGCTTGTTCCAAAAACGTTTTTTTTTCCTTCTGCTGGGTAGATTATGCTTTAGAAGGTTCTGGTTAAGCCGCCTATTTCACATTGAAAGGTCATGGCACACATATCAATTTACTGTAGTTTTTGTTTCTGGTTGGCAGGATTTGCCCTCTGATGCAAGAGCATATTCTTTAAAGCTTTTCATTACAGCTGAGTAAGGGCTTTAATTTTCTCTAAAGTGCCTTCTGGACCTGAATAACTATGTGACTGTTTTTAGTCCGTGAATATGCAATGCTGCATGTATCACGCTGGGCCCAGCTCGTTAGTTTTCTTTGCAGGATGTTAAATTATCACGGACAGTGATTTACAGATCCAAGTGATAAGAATTAAGTGCAGCTTAAAATCAGTTGCTTGATTGGCTTTGTGCTTAGTTGCTTTTACAAGAGCAACTTTAGTCGTTCTCTTTTGTGGCTAGAACGCCCGGGGTCCCCCCGGGCTAGAACGGTACAGCCGCTCTTTCCACTGAGCCTTGACCTTGAGCCGCGTGGCGGATCGAGCGGCAATTGAGCCTTAGACGTCGGAAGTTGGAAGTGGGAAGTCGGAACTTGAAAATCGAAAGTTGGAAATCGGAAATCGGAAGTCGGAAGTCAGAAGTCGGAAGACCCTCCTCGGCTTTCGTATGCTACAGATTTTGTTGTATGGAACAAAAATACACAAGACTAAAGGTAAAGCAATGTAGACTAAATGTACAGCGATTCGATTTTGTTTTATTGACAAATACCGTACACAGAAAAAAAAATTGTGAACGGTGATTTTTGTCCTTATTTCTTTTTCTAGAAAGAGGTTGCAAATGCATGGGTACATCGGTTTGCTGGTCAATTCATATGTTTGAATATTCAGCCAACGATTCTACAACCAGTTCAAGAAGTTTCTGTTTCTCATCAAAACGCTTTAGTGTTTTTCGACGTAACGATCACAAGCGACGTGCAGTAGAAACCCGCTGTTAGAAAGTTGTCTCTTAAAAATACAGACTTAAAGTTCCGTTTTTTAATACCTGTCTGCCATCCTACCAGCTTTTCCGTTTTATTGTTTGAGTTAGATTTTCTCCTCACTTGTTTTGAAACCGTTTTCACACGAACAGAAATGTAGACATAGTGGAGGCTTGTTACGAGAGGGGAAGGTTGTAATTTCTTATCTGTGGGTTGATAAGTTGTGATAAGTTAACAGTCACGGAATCAGTATTTGTGAAACAGCTCATTTCTTCCATTTTAACACATTATTGGTCAGATTTTAATATTTTATGCGTCAAGTCTAAAGGGAAAAGCGACCAGACGTGAAAACGGCCTGTTCCAATGTCTCCGCGCGACATTGGCGATAACTGAACAGTATGTCACCAATTAAATTATGATTAAAAAACACGTTTTACTTCTGAACTGGCTTGTTAGAGCTGAAAATTATTCATCATGACAGTCATTTACAGCTTGTTTGAGAAATGATTTTGGAGAGTCTATTTACGGTTTCGGCGTTTGTGTAACACTGACGGCAACATTTTTCATCGTCATTTAAAGATTGCCGCAGTACTGAATGGTTTTGCTTTATGATTAGCTGGAAATTTCCATCGTCGCATTTTCATCAGCCATCGCTTGAAAATGACGGTGGAATTTTCCATCGACATTTTGAGTTACAATCGTACACGTGCGAATTTGCAGTATTTGGAATTGAAACCTTCATTTTTGGTAATCTGACAAAACCTCTTTCAATCTTGCATTTTTTGATGTTACCGTAAAACGACGTTGGAAACTTCCGTGGTCATTTTGGGTGCGTTTGCACATTTTTTGGAATCAGAATCCTGGATCATTGCTTAATGGCACTGCGTAAAAAAAAGACAAATTGCAAAACATTTTGCCTAAAACGACTGGAAATCGGGACGATCTGTATTAAAAAAGGTATATATTACCGAATCAGTCATGTGCATATATAGTAACATTTTGAATTTTCATTCTACATAATACCACTTTTAAGCCTACTATTAATATCAAATGTGGAAAAAAATCACTGCTGAAATGGCTATTTTTTTTTTTACCAGAAATTGGCCATTTTAGAAT